TTCTAGTGGGAAAAAAAAGTGTTATCTTTTGAGAGGGAAAAGGCGGCACTCTGGACACTCGATTCTGATTGGACAATGGTGGCATTCTGTGGTCAAATATTTGGTTTAATAACCATTAAACTGTATTAGCTGTTTCCCCAGGCAAACTATTTCCTACATAGCTGTTTTTAGTTTCATGCTTTGTCCATATTTGACTGTTTATCTATGGGTTCTTGTGTCCCAAGGGTTGATTTTTATAAGAACCAACAAATTAAATAAAAAAAATAAAACTTGTTACATGAAAGCCACACAGCCTGCCATATAATATTTATTTATTTACCATGTCCTCATCATTTATTCTTTATACTTTCAAATGTACTAGCTTTTGCAAGGCTGTGCTTCTCAAATTAGGGTTATCAAATGAAATCATTATTTCTTGCCCAACTTGTAAAATCTGTGGATCCATGAAGCACAAGTATGAGAGGATGGTGATTGTTACTGTCAAGCTTAAAAAAAGCACATAAAAGAACCATACACATAGTGCATATGATTTGTGTATGTTATTTCAAGTCTTCTGAATGCTTTATGAGAAAAACAGACTGTACTTTAAGAAGCATTCGCTCAAAATCTCAACCTCCCTTGTTTAAATCTGGCACTCACGTCAGGACATTGATTTGTTTATGTAAGCATATGTGGAGTAAATAAAGAAATGACATACAGACTTCATTGGTTCTTGCATTTATCACCAACGTGGTACAGACAGAGCTGGGTAGTAACTGATTACATGTAATCTGGATTACATAATCAGATTCCAAAATGTAAATACTTGTAAAATGTGTGTGTGTGTGTGTGTGTGTGTTTGCGTGCACTCTGTGTAGTTGCTTACTGACCCAAGTCAAAAGAGCCCTATTCCTGTTTAGAGACTGATATTCTGGTCTTGAGATATGCTTGAGTCCCTCAATAAGTACATTGGATTTTGTTTTATCATCTGCCAAGGAAAAATTGTAAATGTGATCACTTTGATAGTTTTATAGTGCCACAGAGCTACATTGTACTTTTCACTTTTTGGAAAGTCAACCTACAAACGGCTTATTTATAGTTGCAAAATGAACTGAGATAGGAAAAAAAGTATTTTATCATCAAAAAAAATGACACTTCTTAAAGTAATCTAATGCACTGAATGTTCTATTGAGATCACATGGAGTACTCTCTAACAAAATTACTCCACTCTTTTTATGGTTTTATTTTTAAAAATTGTTGCCTTTGTTTATAGGATAGTAGAGTGCAGACATGAAAATCAGGCTGTGGCTCTTTTGTCCCCAGTAATTGTATGTCTCGTTCAGCTAGCCCAGTGACACCTACATAGCAATCTACTTCATCAACTTTGCAAAACATTCATGCAATGTGGTATAGTGCCAGAGGTTTTGTGTTTCACACCTGGACCATGAAATATGCTCTTGATTTAGGGTTTGGGCCTTTTTATAAGGAAAGGATCCACCAACCCCTGGGTTATAGGCCAAGCATTCTTTTGCTTTCACATCTGCCATTCCCACAACAGGCCCACATTAATTACACCTTCTCAAAGATTAGACCACCCCAGATGGGACTTGAACCCACAATCCCTGGCTTGTCTCAGTGCCTTATCCATTAGGCCACTGAGGCTGTCATGTGCCCCCAATACTTCTCAGTCTTGGTCAGGTGGTTTAGTGGCATTTGAATTGTATTCATAACACAAGCATAGTGATCTAGATCAATGTCTGCTTCAACAGCTGCTCAGAACATTCATGCAACATTGATATAGTTTCAGGACTAAGAGGATTGTTATGACTGGACTGTGGAATAGCCACAGGAATGAGGCCTAAAATATGGAAGTCAGCGGGTTTTTGGTTAGATAGGGAGAAATCTAAAACATTCTGAGAAATGGATCCCAAGGACTGAAGTTGAGAAACACTAAACTAGATTAAAGTCTACTTAAACTTGGACTAAGAGGCTTTGTGTTTTACACCTGGACGATGGATCTGTACTGTACTGGACTGTAGCAGACAACGGTTTCGATCCATCGACATCTGGGCTATGGGCCCAGCACTCTCCCACTGTGATATTCTGCTCACCTTAAGCCGGGCTCACACTACAGGAGTTTTAAAATCCTAACCGATTATGAAATCTGGTTGCAGCACACACATAAGGAGAATCTTTGCAGATTATCTTCTCTCAAATCTTAAACATGCACACACTACAAGATTTGAACATCATGGCGCATCACACAATACAAGATATTATTAAGATTATCATGCCAGAGGGAGCACCTCACGTGATCGCCTTGTGACCAGGGGCGTGTCTACGTGGTGGCCAGGGGTGGCACCGGCCCCCTCTGAAATCTGGCTGGCCACCCCAGGTGCCCCCCCCTACCAGATATCTTGCGATAGGCTTGTTTTTAGTAAATTTCTAACGGCATCTGGCTTTCCGCTTTCTTCTCTTCTTTATACTTAATTTTAAGCGGTTTCTATAGCGTGATCTTAATGACAAATGTCGAGAGCGCATAATGTTACGCGATCCATGTAATGCGTGAGCAAGAATCTCACCGCAAGAATCCG